TTTCTAATGTGATATATATGATAAAGAGATCAATAAAATGATTTCAAGCATAAATGAATATTACACTAGAGCAAATTCTACAAGAGAATAGTAGAATGGAATTACAAGTTCAAGAAGAAAAGAAACGACAAATTTTTCTGACAGTTAAAAATGACCTTGTTCGAATGTTTTTTAAAAAATTGATAGTAGTGGATAGCAGGCTTTATAAGATGGCCCCCAGTGATCCTTGCCCTCAGGTATAATATTTATGCCCCTGTGTAATCTCATCCCCATGAGACTGGGCTTGACCTAAAGACTTGCTTATAATAAAGCGAATACAGCAAATGTGATGGGATGAGGCTTCTGAGATTAGGTTACCAAAGCCCTGTGATTTCTATGTTGCTCTCCTCTTTTGCTCTCTCTTTCTCTTTTCTGTGCTCTGAAGAAAGCCAGTTGCCGTATTATGAACTACCCTATGGAGAGCCTCATGTGACACAGAACTGAGGGAGGTCACTAGCCATTAGCCAGCAAGAAACTTAGGCCCTTTGCCCTATGGTCCATAAGAAACTGAATCCTGCCAACAGTTATGTGAGGAAGCTTGGGAGTAGATCCTCCCCGAGTCAAGTCTTCAGATCACCCGGCAGTCCTGGCTGACCCCCTGATTGCAGTCTTGTGAGAGACTTTTATCTGCCCCAGAGAAACTGTGAGATAATAAATGGTTGTTTTCAGCTGTGAAGCTTAAGGACAATTTGTTACACAGTAATAGATAACTAATATAATAATGATGAGTACCAAAAGCCTATTGTTTTTAGAATCCATATGATACATTTAAGGGTGATCAAATATTTTTACTTTTAAAGTGACATTAATTTTCAATAAACTTGAAATTATGTCATTTGCAGCTATTTTTATGAGAAAACATTTTAGAGGGCAACTTAAAACGTAGATGTGCTTCATCATGATTATCAATTCTTTTAGGAAGTATATGAGCCAAAACATTAGGAAAGTACTAACAGCATTGAGAAATCATTATTTCTTGGTGATAGTAAAAGAGGTTAAGAGAGAGAATCAAGAGTGAAATGGGGCCAGGCACAGTGGCTCACATCTGTAATCCCAGCACTTTAGGAGATCAAGGCAGGCAGATTGTTTGAGGTCAGGAGTTTGAGACCAGCTTGGCCAACATGGTGAAACTCCATCTCTACTAAAAATACAAAAATTAGCTGGGCATGGTGGCACATGCCTGTGATCTCAGCTACTCAGGAGGCTGAGGCAGGAGAATCACTTGAACTTGTGGGGTGGAGGTTGCAGTGAGCCAAGATCATGCCACTGCAATCCAGCCTGGGTGACAGAGTGAGACTCCATCTCAAAAAAAAAAAAAAAAAAAGAGTGAAATGGGAACTAGACGGTTTAATTTCCTGCCATGAAGAAGTAACTTTAATACTTGATCCAAGTTAGAATGCACACAACTCAAATAATAGCCTCTGCCAATTAAGGGCTTACAGTTACACATGATACCTGCCCCATTTAATCCTTACAACAACCCTTTGAGGGAGATGTTATCAGGATAGGGATTTGAAAGAGCCAATATATCACACCTCATGTTGTTCTGTTGAGTTGAGCCTGCAGAAGAGGCACCTGTCTATCCAGCCATGTGGGGAGTCAAGGAGCTGTCAGTACATGCGCAGCATCACCTAAAATATTAATCCTATCCAAGAGCTGAAAGTAGATAAATAGATGTTACACGCTTTCCATCACACAAGCTAAAAAGCATAAGGCCTGGGTTCAATCCCAGGTCTCTGACTCTAAACACCATGCTCTTAATTGCTGTCTTTCCAGAAAAAGAGGGAAAGACTAAATGCATTTTCTACTATGATCAGATTATACCAATCGCTCATATATTTTTCTCTCCTTTTACATAGAAGTGCAGTAAATGTATGTCCTAAACCAATACTCTACTTAAGATTCCAATTTGATTTTGTAAAATATACATACCATACAATTTACCATTTTAACCATTTTTAAGCAGACACTTCAGTGATGTTGAGTACACGCACATTGTTATACAATCACCGCCATCTATTTCCAGAACTTCGTCTTCCTAAACTGAAACTCCATGTCTATCACCCAATAACTCTCCATTCCCCGCTTCCCCTTGCCCCTGGTAACTACCATTCTATTTTGTCTGTATCAATTTGACTACTCTATGTACCTCATATAAATGGAATCATATGATATTTGTCCTTTTGTGCCTGGTTTATTTCACTTAGCATAATGTCTTCAAAGTTCATCCATGTAAGAATATCCCTCCTCTTTAGGGAAGAATAATATTCCATCGTATGCAAATGTTACATTCTCTTTATTCACTTATTGTCTTAGTTGGTTCAGGCTTCTATAACAAGCTGTCATAAACTTGGTACCTTATAAACAACAGAAATATATTTATCACTGTTTTAGAGGCTGGAAAATCCATAATCAAGCCATCAGCAGCAGGTTTGATGTCTGGTGAGGTCCTACTTTCTGGTTCATAGATGTTCATTTCCTGCTGTGTCCTCACATGGTGGAAGGGGTAAGAGGTCTCTCTCTGCAGCCTCTTTTACAAAGGCAATCATCTCATTCATGACCTAATTGCTTCTCAAATGCCCCACGTCTTAAGACATCACATTGGTGATTAAATTTCAACATAGGAATTTTGGGGGGACAGAAACTTTCAGACCATAGCATCTGCCAGTGGACACTTGGGTTGCTTTCACCTTTTGGCTATTATGAGTAATACTGCTGCAAACAGGAGTGTACAAATATCTGTTTGAATTCCTGCGTTTCTTTTAGATATATACCCAAGAGTGGAATTGCAAGATTATATGGTAATTCTATGTTTAATTTTTTAAGCAATTGCTATCCTATCTTCCATATCAGCTGCACCATTTTACATTACCACAGATTCTAAAATTTTTAACAAGAAAGTATAACTAAAATAATAAGTGATGAATGATATAAAATGAGCAATATAGACAATTACCCCATAATTATAGCCTCTCAGAGCTTTAAGGGGTCTCTAAAGTGCATCAGTCCAAGTACCCATCATATATTTGAAGATAGTGCTTAAAGTTCTTGGATGATGATTACATTAACCCTCTGGCAAACGTTGATTAAAGGCTTACTAGTTACCCAGCACAATGCTGTGCAGAGCTAAAAGGAACAATGAAATTATCCATCCTTTCTTGGAATTATTTCACACAACTACCACATGCAGCCTTAAACATAACAAGTTGCCGATTTACTTAGGATAACGATTCACCTGGGTGGAAAGACCACGTATTTCAATTATTTTACTTCCGGTCTCTCTCCATGGGAAAGATAAACTAGCTTTAAAAATGATGTGGGTTGGTAAATATTTGCAGTTAGAGTATGAGGTCACCATAGCAGTTAGAAAACAAAACAATCTAAATATAATTGTAGATCCTTATAGAAACCTGACATTGAGCCATGTCCGCCTACACTATTAGGCCTTCCACAGAGTTAGAAAGTCTTCCACAGAGTTGGACAAGTTTAGAAATTACACAGCTCTGAGGTGTAGTGAATGTTTATAAAAAAACAGTTTCTGTCTCAGTTGGGAAATACCAAGTACTCCTAAACGATGACAAAAACAGGTGGTAGACAACAAAGAGAGTTGTTTTTTAGTGTGTATTTTTGTTTTTGTTTTTTTTTTTTTGAGATGGAGTCTCACTCTGTCGCCCAGGCTGAAGTGCAGTGGTGTGATCTCAGTTCACGGCAACCTCTGCCTCTTGGGTTCAAGTGATTCCTCCTCCAGAGTAGCTGGGATTACAGGTGCCCACCACCATGCCTGGCTAATTTTTGTATTTTTAGTAGAGACAGGGTTTCACCATGTTGGCCAGGCTGGTCTCAAACTCCATACCTCAAGTGTTCTGCCCGCCTCGGCCTCCCAAAGTGTTGGGATTACAGGCATGAGCCACCATGCCTGGCCCTTCTAGGCAACTGTTAACTCCAATTCTATCCATATCCCTAGCAAACTTGGACTCCACTTGGTAAAGTATAGGTGGAGGAAGGGGTGTGGAGCAAGGGCAGGGAACAAGGAGAATCTAAGGAGCATTTCATGTTCCTTTTCCTTAATTTTCCAGTTCAGCTCAAGTTGTCAAACATGTACCTCCAGCACATGAGGTACTGGAGACACAAACAAATTACACTTGGACATTACTTCAAGATGCTCAAAATCTAGCTTAAGAGTATGGTTTATTTTTTACATGTTTAGTTGTTTGTATTTTAGAAAGCTTCACAGGTGGGATGAAATATTTTACAATGCTATAATCATGTATGGTTAGGTAAGGAGCAGATAACAGCTCAGTTTGTGTGTGTGTGTATGTCCAAGGTCACTGTAAATAGTTTACCCCTTTACCCCAGCTGGAACCAGCCTGTGTCCCTCCCAGAGAGACCACATTACTTTTAGCTTAGATTGGATAACTCTTCACATACAACGCTTTGCCAAGGTCCCAGCTGCTTCATGTTTGCTTAGTTTGATATTTTATTAACGCCTATTTAGCATTTCAATAAACTCCAGAATGTTTCCAGGTTACTTTTCATAGTATTACAAAAAACAGTGATCATTAAGGCACTGTATTAGGCTGGATTCACTCAACATTTCCCAAATGCTTAAATACCAGGTCCTTGGGATACACCAGCGAACGTAACAAGCAAAAATTTCTGCCCTCATGCAGCATACATTCCAGTGACTACATATGATAAAAATCCAAAATAATTGAGGCCACGCTGGTCTGGATCCTCAAGTGATCCACCTGCCTCGGCCTCCTAGCGTGCTTGGATTACAGGTGTGAGCCACCGCACCCAGCCTGCTAGTCTTTTGACTGGCCTCCCCATCTCCAAACTCCATCCTCCATATTAGTGTTGCAGGACTTTTTAAAATAAAACCTTGGTCATTTAATTTCTCACATTAGAAACCTTCCACTCTTTTTCACTGTTTACAGTAGAAATCCAATTCTCTTAGTATGGTATATAAGATTCTTCATGATCTAGCCCCAGTACAACACTCTTTTCACCGTATATTCTTTTGACTTAAGTCAAAAGAATTTTGACTTAAGTCCACCCAATATTCTTTTCACCGTATCCCTTCCATCTGGCCAGGCTGAGTCCTGGCAGCCACGATCCCCTATGGATCATGCTGGTTGAGATCTCCTGGGTTGCTCATGTTATTCCTGCTCCTACAGATATCTCCATCTTCTTGTCTACTTAAAGAAAACCTACTCATCTGTGTGCAATCACCATAAAGACTATCTCTCTTCTGCAGCCTTTCCTGCAATTCCCATACCTCTGGCACTGACAATCACCTTTTAAAAATACCCCACCTATATTTCTCCTAGTCTCTACAGTATTTTGATTACACTTAACTAATTACATGACTTCTCTTTTAGTCTTCTTCTCTAGTCTCTTGAGGCCATGGACCATATCCTATTATTCTGAATCCCAAATGCCTAATACTGTGCTTGGTATATGGTTAAGGTGATCATATGACTTGGTTTGTGCCTGTTGACCCGGCTTAATAATTAGACCCTCTTTACTCCAAAAGTATCTTGGTTTGGCAGATAAGTTATATTTGGTCATTCTCCACATAGTACATGCCTGGCAATGAATGAATAATGAGTGAGCACCAGAATCTGAGCACTTATTACCATACAATATATACATATGTAGTAATACTTTTTTTAAAAAGTTGTTTATGACGATGTGCTGCTTTTTTTCTTAGCTTCATTAGAACTGGCCAGCTCCTCTTTCTCACTTGCCAAGTATGGGGAGTTGGTTTGGAGTCGGTGTCTCATCTTTTCCAGTTATAGTGTGAAAGTAGCCCACCAGCCCACGCTGTTATTCCTAAAGACCGCATTGACTTCACGGACTTAAGTTATCATTGCTTCCAGTTTCCTTGGGCAAGCAGCACGCAATTTTGGACGCGCTGCGTGGTTTCAGAGTCGGCTGTAACTTGTCTCACTTTGTAATCATCAGGAAAAGTTCCTGATGCCAGTCTTCCAAACGCTCAATGAAATTAATAAAAAACAGCACCGCAGCAGAGGCTGAGATGCAACGACAAAAGTTGTCGTAATTATTAATAATACCTAACCCTGGATTACTCCCCTGAAAGATCTGTATCTTTGCAGCAGGCGCAATTCAGTTTGGTTTCACCCAAAACAAAAATGGTCTCCGTCGGAGTCCATTTCCTGTGCGGACCAATCAGAATATCGAATACAGGGCACGGGGCCCGCACTTCCGCCCGGTCTTCCTGGTCTCTCTAATCGCGCCAGTGCGCCTCCGACTCGGAACGACTTCCGCGGCAGGGGCGGCGAGGGCCGGGGGCGGCGGGCGGGATGAGTGCGGTGTGCGGCGGACCGGCGCGGACGCTGCGGGTGCCGGGACGCCACGGCTACGCCGCCGAGTTCTCCCCGTACCTGCCGGGCCGCCTGGCCTGCGCCACCGCGCAGCACTACGGCATCGCGGGTGAGGCGGGGCCGCGCAGCCGGGGCGGGGGCGCGCAGCCGGGGCTGGGGGGCGGAGGCGGAGGCGGGGGCCAGCCGGGCTCTAGCTCTTCGCGCTCGAGGGAAAGCCCCTCTGAGCGTAGACGGTTCCGCGGGTCCGCGCCAGAGGGCAGAAGAGGCGCTGGTCGGCGCCTCTCACTTTGCGGAGCGCGAGGAGTTGGTCTGAAGCGGGAGTCGATCCTCTTCAGTTGTGTGTAAGTGCATATAGGTGTAGCCTGGTAGCCCGTGTCCTTGTTCTTTGAGACCGGCTGCCTTCGCCACCTGTCACACGCCCAGGCACACGTCCCCGTGCGGAGAGCCGGGGTAGCCTGCGCGGTACCTCGGAGCGGTCCGCTCCACACAGCTGTACGGGAAAGACGGTCTGAGCCAGAACCGCCCCAGGGCTCGCGAGTTGGCCCACATTTCCCAGTCTGCATTCGAGCACTGAGCCACGACCTGCGGGCTGGCCGTCCTAAGAAGGATGCTCCTGAATGGACGCCTGGAGTCCAACCGGTGACACCATGAAATATATTAAGTTCAGTTCTCACCTGTAGTTGTCTCACGAGGAATGCATACTTTAGCAAGTAGCTGTTACAGACTACAGTTAATTGTCTCCAGCGGGGTGCATTGGCTCAGCCTGTAGTTACAGCTGCTTAGGAGGCTGAGGCGGGAGGACCGCTTGAGCCCGGGATGTTGAGGCTACAGTGAACTGAGATCACATCGCTGTGCCCCAGCTCAGTGAGCTGAGATCACATCACTCCACTCCAGCCTGGGTGACAGACTGCGACACCGTCTTAAAAGAGAAAAGGCCAGGCGCGGTGAGGTGGCTCACGTCTGTAATCCCAGCACTTTGGGAGGCCGAGGCAGGTGGATCACCTGAGTTCGGGAGTTCCAGACCAGCTTGACCAACATGGAGAAACCCCGCCTCTACTAAAAATACAACATTAGCTAGGCGTGGTGGCGCATGCGTGTAATCCCAGCTACTCGGGAGGCTGAGGCAAGAGAATAGTTTGAACCCAGGAGGTGGAGGTTGCGGTGAGCCGAGATCGCGTCTTTGCACTACAGCCTGGGCAACAGCCTGGGCAACAAGAGCAAAACTGTCTCTCAAAAAAAAAGAAAAAAGAAAAAAAAGTTAATCATCCCTCTCCGTGGACTAGATGAAAAGGCACGGGTTCATTCTCGCTTTTGCCTTAATTCATGTCCTAGCTATTATAGGCACTGAAGGGAGATGCAACAACTCATTTCATAATGTCAGTGGTCTGTTGTATTTTTTGTTTTGTCCTACAGCAGAAAAAAATGTTACTTCTAAAACTCAGAGAAATACTTGATTTATTTTCTTTATTAGCTCTTAGTGCTTGGCACATTCGGATTTACATGGCCCACCAGTTGGATTGAAGACTCATGAGTCTATAATGGTAGTAGTTTCCTTTTTTTCTTTTTCTTTTTAGAGACAGGGTCACACTCTGTTGCCTAGGTTCAGTAGAGTGGTGCAGTCACGGCTCACTGTAGCCTCAACCTCCTGGGCTCAAATGATCCTCCTGTCTCAACCTCCCCAGTAGCTGGGACCACAGGCACGTACCACCACACCTGGCTAATTTTTGATTTTTTATTTTTGTAGAGACGGTATCACTGTGTTGCCCAGGCTTGTTCTGAACTGGGTGCAAGCGATCCTCCTGCCTTGGACTTCCAAAGTGCTAGGATTACAGGCGTGAGCCACTGTGACTGGCCTGTAAATGCTACTTAAAATCTTATGCAAAAACTCTTTAAAAGGAATTGGTATTTAAAAAAACATTCAGTCATGTTTAAATAGAAGAGATTTTCCCCCTTGATCTCTATAAAAGTAAATATAACTTTTAAAATACAATGGCCCTTTGGTAAAATAATCTTTGACGAGTAACATATTAATACTGTTTTCAGCAGTGTATTACCACCAGTTATGTGGTAAATCCCACCAGGTATCTCCGCATTCATATTTTGCTTTAAAATCCTGTGTTAGATGTATTTTAGATTTGCTGGTGAGGAGTGCAGTCCCTGGGGTCTGTAAGCCAGAGGTTTCTCATCTGTCAGTAGGGATGATAACACCAACTTGGAAGGTTTGTGTCTCTGGTGCCTTGTCTGGCTACAGAGTAGGCCCTTAAGTATTTCACCCCTTTGTTAGGCCCATGTCTGGATTCCAATCTTAGGCGCAATGGGAAGTTGAATATTTAGTAACTGAAGTACAATATGGAAAAACAGAAATAGAGAACACATTTGGTATTCATGTCCCAAAAACTTTAGGGAGAAATTGATCACCTGACTGTTTGGTATTTAAGGTCCGAAAAACTCTGGGGAGAAATTTGTGGTATTAAAATCAGGTGCCAGTTACTTGATAACTCTCTGACTTTTGATATTACCCTGGCAGGTTCAAAGGGATGACCTTGATTTTTTTTCTCTTTAGGCTGTGGAACCCTACTAATACTGGATCCAGATGAATCTGGGCTAAGGCTTTTTAGAAGGTAAGGGGGCTGAAATTATTAAAGGTATTTACTGTTGCTATTAAAGCCTTAATAGAGTTAGGTTTTGACTCTTTGGTTAATGTTTTAATATACAATATAAAAGGAACCTTGGCGTTTGCATAGGATGAAGCTTATTTTTAGCTGGTTGTGGTGGTGCACACCCATAGTCCCAGCTATTCCCAAGTCTGAGGCAGAAGGATCACTTGAGGCCAGGAGTTCAAGACCAGCCTCGTGGGCATAGGGTCCCCCACTATGTTAGGGGCACCCCGTCTCTAAAAGAAATTTTTTGTGTGTGCACAGAGTCTGGCTCTGTCACCCAGGCTAGAGTACAGTGGCGTAATCTTGGCTCATTGCAATCTTTCAGCCTTCTGGGTTCAAGTGATTCTCCTGCCTCAGCCTCCCAAGTAGCTGGGATTATAGGTGCCCGCCACCATGCCCAGCTAATTTTTGTATTTTTTAGTAGAGACAGGGTTTCACCATTTTGGCCAGGCTGGTCTTGAACTCCCGACCTCTGGTGATCTGCCCGCCTTGGTCTCCCAAAGAGCTGGTGTTATATGTGTGAGCCACTGGGCCTGGCCTAAAAATTTTTTTTTAAAGATTAGCTATGCCGTGGTGGTGCACACCTGTCGTCCCAGCTACTTGGGAGGCTGAGGTGGGAGGATTGCTTGAGTCCAGTTCAGGGCTGCAGTGAGCTGTGATTGGACCACTAAACTCCAGCCTGGGTGACAGAACAAGACTCTTTCTCTTAAATAAAAAACAAAACAAATCTGAAGCCTGTCTCTTAGTGTCCACTCGTAAATTATAAAACTTAAACATAAAAAAATATGGAGTAGTATATTGTGTAGCATTACATTTTCGGACTGTTACGTTCCACTGGACTGTTTTTTTAACCTTTCTGAATCTGTTACCATATTTGTCAAGTATGTGCTCTCTTAACTCCCATAGTTGTGAAGATTACATGAGATATACGTGTTAAAATATGTGATAAATTGTAAGAAAAAAACCATAATTATAATTGTTATTTTTTGTTGTTGTTGTGTAGCTGCCTATGTAAGTGTTGTGTTTTTTTTGTTTTTTCCTAGTGTAGCTTTGACTGGAATGATGGTTTGTTTGATGTGACCTGGAGTGAGAACAATGAACACGTCCTCATCACCTGTAGTGGTGATGGCTCGCTGCAGCTCTGGGACACTGCCAAAGCTGCGGGGCCACTGCAGGTCTATAAAGAACACACTCAGGAGGTAGGAGGGGAATCTTTCTGAGCTGATTATTTTTCTTTCTTCGACTTTGGTTGAAATCCATTTGGGGATGTACACATGGAGAAGTATCTTCAGGGGACAAGTTTAAACTTTAGCATTTCATATACATATTAGATGTCACTTATTATTTGATTATTCAAACATAAAGTACCTTTGGCCTAAGGAGCTGGGAAAGAAAAGAAAAGGTCAGTCTTCTCATTAGGCAGAAGAAACGCCTCCAGCAGTGTACTCTGGCACCATTTCCTCTTGAGAGGCCCATCACTTTCTTTGTGCTCTAAGAATGTGCTTGCCACAGGGTGCCTTAAGGTAGAGGTAGGTGGACTTTTCACAGAGACGTCATAAGATTGCCTTTGGGGCTTCAGTGAGATTCTCGAGGTGTTTCAGAGTATATTGGAGCAAGAGCATAAAATACTGAGTATGAGGCAGAACTTACTGAAGGGATTTTATATCTAAATCTAGTTCATGTGTCTAGAATTTGTGTGTGTGTATGTATAGCATAGAAAATAGTTTGGGCTTCAGTTGTACTAACATACATGTATATTTTCAGTGAACATAATAATGAAGACATCCTCTTTTTGTGTTTTTACCTTAAATGTTTTAAGATTTTCCTTAAGGTAGCAGTACATCCTTCGAATAAAAACTTGCTAATCTACTTTCAAATTTTTGTCCACCACAGTGCCTGGCCCGAGAACGCCCTCAATAAATGCTTATTAGATGCAGGAATATCAGTCTTTTGTGGTAAAGATTAGTTATGTGAGGGATCCAGATGTTTTATAGCTATAGCTATTGACAATCAAGATTTCTAAGATTGTTACTGAAATAATGAAAAATTTTAGTTTCTATTTTAATTGTGATAGCTATTTGAATAAATGTAGTTGTAAATTATCATGTTTTCAGGGAATTACTGAGTACTAAGACAATTTTGGTAAAGGAGAAGTTTTAGTTTCAGGATGATCAGTGCACGAATCTCTACAGAGCAGTATGTCCAAAATTCAGATACTTTTGTGGAACCTATGTGAATTTTGTGTGTGTGTGTGTGTGTGTGTGTGTATGTGTGTGTATGTGTGTCAGGGCCTCACTCTGTTGCCCAGGCTAGTGCAATCTTGGCTTACTGCAACCTCCACCTTCTGGACTCAAGCCATTCTCATGTCTTAGCCACCCAAGTAGCTGGGATTACAGATGTGCACCACCATTCTCTGCTAATTTTTGTATTTTTAGTAGAGACAGATTTCACCATGTTGGCTAGGCTGGTCTTGAGCTCCTGGGCTCACGTGATCCACCTGCCTTGGCCTCCCAAAGTGCTGGGATTATAGGCGTGAGCCACCGTGCCCAGTCAATTTGTGTGTGTGTGTGTGTGTGTGTGTGTGTGTGTTGGTTTTTTTTTTTTTTGTAGAGATGGAGTTTCGCTACGTTGCCCAGGCTAGTTTTTGTGATTTTTGACATTTTTTTTTCTTTTATCATTTGTATTATAATTAATTTAATGTTTTTCTTTTCCTTCTTTCTTTTTTAAAAAATACTTTTCTTTTTAGAAGTTTTTTTTCCTTTTCTTAAATCTTTGGTGCCTTTTATTACCTATATAAATTGAAAGGTGATAACTAACATCATAAAATAATATTGCTACGTAAGTTAAATTCAGTATATTGACTTAATGTTTTTCTTTCAATCAACTAAAGTTGTTGCTTCATTTATCCTACAGCAGTAATATTCATGAAACAATGGGGTTGATGGCTACTTTAGTATGTACATTTATTTGTTTTTAATGTATATTAAGATAAATAAGTAATGAATAAAATAAATGTATGTACCAGTTAAAATAATCTCTTGTGCAGCTACTTTCTGGGAAATACAGTTCTAGGATGTCCTGGATGGATGGTCACTCAGTCTTCATCTCAGTGAAAGTAAATTTCACTTTCTCTTGAGATAACTTATTTGATTTTTAGGTTGTTCTGATGATTAAGAAACTGCTTCTTGTAAGCCCAAATCTACCTTCTATAGCAACCAACTGCTGCTCTTAGTGCCTTTCTCTGAAGTGGTAAGACCGAGTCCAGCCCCTTTTGTCCAGGAAACCTCTTGAAAATAGCTACTGTGCTCTCTTCCAGACTGTGCACTTGTCATTTCATTGCCCTGTCCTCAGATGACATGATCTTTACATCTTTCATCCTCCTGGTAGCCTCCTTTGATAATCCTTTGAAACAGTGCCTTAGAAAGGGGCACTGTTTTTCAGTGCCCCTTTCAATATATATCTAATGTATTCCAGAAATGTGATGAAGGGCTAAGCTTTATAAGATTTTACCACCATAGTCTTGAGCCCCTAGTTCTAATAATATTACCTAAAGTGGCTATACATTGTTCTCAGCCATGTCTTAGTGTTAGGTTACTTTGAGTCTACTAGTAACACACTTACCTCTTTTATTATTTGAACTGCTGTTAAACCAGTTTTACATCATTCTATAATTTTGGAACTGATCTATTGAACCGAAGATACACTTCTGTTTTTTAACTTTTGAAATTTGTTTTGCATGCTACTATTCTAGTTAGCCTTTGTTTTCTTTTCAAATGCAATTTTTGGTAAGCGTTTGTATCAGGATGCCTTGAATGTTAGTGTAATAGAAAACAAGTGGCTTCAACAGTCAGAGTTTACTGTTTCACATATTTTGCTTGGTTATGTGAAAAATAAATGAAGATAACCTTTTTAGGTATTTGTTACAGCAGCACCCCTAATTATTGGCACCAATTTCTGCCTCAGTCTACTCAGGCTGCTGTAACAAAGTATTATAGACTGGGTGCCTTATAAAGAACAGAAATTTATTTCTTACTGTTCTGGAGGTTGGAAGTCCAAGGTCAGGGTGCCCACATGGTTGGGTTCTGATGAGAGTCCTTTTTCAGGTCAAAGACTACTACTATCTTTTCATTGTATCTGCAGGTGATGGAAAGCGGATGAGAGAGGTTTTGGAAATCCCTTTTATAAGGGCACTAATCCCATTCATGAGGGCTCTACATTCATGACCTAATTACCCCCCAGAGGCCGTACCTCCTAATACCATTACATTGTAGGGGGTTAAGATTTCAACTTTTGAGTTTTGTGGGGACATATTCAGTCCATTGCACATGCAAAATACTCAAAAATACTTAAAAGGATTTGAGCACAAATGAGAGTTTTAAGGAGCTTGTAAATATTTGTTGAATAAATTAATAAATGAGGCTGAGTGCGGTAGTCATGCCTGTAATCCTAATACTTTGGAAGGTCGAGGTTGGCAGATCGCTTAAGGCCAGGAGTTTGAGACCAGCCTGGCCAACATGGTGAAACCCCGCCTCTACTAAGAATACAAAAATTAGCTGGGTGTGGTAGTGCACACCTGTAGTCCCAGCTATTTGGTGACTGAGGCATGAGAATCACTTGAGCCTGGGAGGTGGTGGTTGCAGTGAGCTGAGACTGTGCCACTGTACTCCATCCTGGACAACAGAGTGAGACTCTGTCTTAAAAAAAAATTTATTAAAAAAAAGTTGATAAATGAATGAACATAGCCAATTTCTGTTTGTTTGTTTGTTTGTTTTTCCACCAGTATGTTCAGGGAAGCTATGTTGTGAAATGGAACAGCAACTAATGGCTCATTTTCTTCTATGGAAGAGATTATATAATAAAGATGTATGGCATGATTTTAGTCAATCTGGGATTCAAATCCCAGCTTTGTAAGTTACCTGTTATGAGACCTTGCATATGTCACATGTTTTTCCTAAACTTGAGTGTTTTTATTTGCAAACTAAGTTTATTAGTAGTCTGTATCACAGGGTTGCTGTGAGTGCTTGAACTAGAACCAGCATTGAATAAATATGAGCTAGTATTATTATTTGCTCTTATTTTAATAGGGTTTGAAAAATACAAAACAAGTTAGAACTTTTCCAGTTACCCATTTTATCACTTGATGGCTGTGTGTCCAACAGTCAATGTTCAAGTTGTCAGATGAAGCAAAAAAGAGAAATCCAAGATTTAGATATATTTTAGGCTTTGAGGAATGAAGGTCTTGGTGAAATGAAAAGAAAGAAAAACGTGGACATTATCTGTGTGAATGGTTGCTAAACTTAGCATCAAAGTAGGAATCAAATTGTTCTGTGTATTGTTTAACTGGTGTCTACAGAGGTCATTGTGTCTTTTGAGTCCCATAAAATGCCTTTGGCTTTGCTTATTCTAATGCTGCTGAATATATAATAAAAAATTTAAAAAATTCAGTGAGAATAGAAAAATAAGAGTGAATCGACAATTTTATTTCACTGCTTTCTGACTTAAAACACTGTGCTACTGAGAGTAAGTTAAAGTGACTTTAAAGATGACATAAATCAATGTAATATATTAATTTCTAATTTTCAAACTAATGAGTTTGCTTATCACAGTTTAAGAAAGTTAAAATTTGTTTTCATTGTCAAATAGCAAGGTTTATCAATTTGCTGAATTTTTATAACATATTTGATCCATTGAGGTTTTTGAGCATTGCTTATAAAAACTTATTTTTGACCTAAGTATGCAACTATTAGTATTCTGTTATGGAGGAAATGTATTTGCTTATACATTTTAAGAGTTAAAATCTTGTTTATTTTAAAAAATGAATCAATTATTTGCTTTTTGATAATGATAGAAGTTGAGAAGTCAATAATGATAGGTACTGTATTAGTCTGTTTTCACATTGTTATAAAGAAATACCTGAGAGTGGGTAATTTATAAAGGAAAGAGGTTTAATTGACTCTCAGTTCTGCATGTATGGGGAGGCCTCAGGAAAGTTAACATTATGGCAGAAGGTGAAGGGGAAGCAGATGACCTTCTTCACGAGGCAGCAGGAGAGAGAGAGAGAGAGAGAGAGAAAACAGGGGAAACTGCCACTTTTAAAACCGTCAGATCTTTTGAGAACTCCTCACTATCACAAGAACAGCGTGAGGGAAACTGCTTCCGTGATCTGATCACTTCCTACCAGGTTCCTCCCTTGACACAT